GGCCCATGAGTCAGTGCTACCAGAAGCTGGAGAGCCTGGAATGGATGAAAATCAAGTGCTAGGAACTCAGGTTGGACCACAGGTGAGCTTTTTTTAGTTAGTCTGAAATCTCTATGTCAAGCCAGACTAGCTTGTTAGTAGAGTAAGTGGGTTGAGAAACCAGGGAAAGGCCAGAGAGTCTAGAAGATGAATGAAACACTGGTTTGTATGTGTGCATCTCTGTGAGCGAGACAGATGGAGGGGGCTGTCTACTGAGGGAATCAGGAGGTCCAGGTCACCATAAATTCTGGAGGTTCTTTGAGAGTCCTGTCTATATATTGTGTATATCAGTACAACTGGAGACAAGATGATCCAAAGGCCAGCTCCTGGGTAGGCTGAGTGTCTAAGACCAATTAATGGAGGGATTCATAGTATGTGTGCCTGTGCATGTGTTTGTGTGTGTAAGTAGGGTTCTCTGGAGTGGGGCAGCACTACAGCAACTGGCTGCAGACCTTGGAGGCTCACAAGTCCAAGTGTCGGCAACCCAGGAGAACAAGAATCCAGGTCTAACTACTGGATAGGCTGCATGCTTAAAACCAGTTAGTAGAGGATCCACAGCATGCCTCTGTGTGTGTGTGTGTGAAGGGATGTATCAGTGAGTGAGGCTGTCTGAATACTAGCAAAAGGAGCAGGGCTGCAAGCTTTAGGTGTCAGCATACATAGAGACTGCAGATCCAGAGGTCAGCTAGTGGAGGCTCAATGTTTAAGGACAGTTATTGCAGGGATCTGTATTGTGTAGAAATGCATATATATTTCCCACTAACAGACCTTCATCCTGACCACCCAGAAAGGGGAGCAGGATGAGGCCATTGGTGGTGCTGTTTCTATTTGCATGACTGGTGAGTGTTTCTGTCTGCCTGTGTTGATCTTTGTGGCTGGCCATTTGCATGTGTGCAGTGCCTGCATGTGTTTCTGTGTGTGCCTGTAGGGAATACACACTCAATCTTGCTATTGTTTGTACCCAGAGACATGAAGCTGCAGCAGCCTTGCTTATGTGAGGTTACTGGATTTGACAACCCCTAACAATATTTTTTCACAAGCCCAGAGAGTGCTTTCTCTTTCCAGCCTTCTTAGAGAGCATTCACAGTCTTCCTACTTGTTCATGGTCAAGGCATGATCATAGAAGGCAGAATAAGCTCAGTAGTGTTTCAGTTCTTTTCAAGAAGTCTACTGGAGTTTTGCTGCTTGGGGCATTCAACTCCATAGCAAAGTGAACTCTCTGAATGTTACCTTTTACTCTACTGCCCTTCGCCTTATCTAGCAATGTATATGTACATTTGGATATATACAGAATTCAACTGGACAAGGTTTTGAGCAACCTACTGCCTTAAGCAGCATGTTGATAGCAATGACCTCTGGTACCTCTCTTCCAACTTGTTTCATTCTGTAATTCTGTGATGTTGTCATTCTTTGCACCGGATTCTCATCCCACAGGTGAAGAGATTCTTTTACTGTCTTCCCAGGATCACCTTTCTTGTTATTGGCTGTAGTTTGGGCAGGCTTGGGTTGTATAATTCGCTCTTGCACCACTGCACTGTTAAGACATGAGGAGAAGTATTCTTCAATTTAGAAAGCCTTCATGAAGGTTGTCTAAGGGTCAATGATCTTTGGGTGAGTTGTCATCCTCTCACATCAGGAGAACATTTTGCCTGTAACACAAGCACTAAATAGTCTTGCTTGAAGGTGCAGTCTATCCAAAATCTTAAAATCATTAAAATGCCTATTTTGAACATCCTGATCTGTAATAGCAATTTCCACACTCTGCTCAATTGATCTTGATATTGACATTATAGTATAATGTAGCCCAAGAGATTGGTTTGTGATGTGAGTATAGACTAGTACTAGCTTAAGTATTGGGGATTTTTATTTCACTTTTTCTGACCTGCAAGAACAAAGGATACTTAAATGAGAGTTTAACTAGTTTAAAATTTTGTTTTACAGAGACTGTAATGAACCCATTTGACTCTTCTATAAAAGATGATCTTTTTCTTTTTAGTTTAGGGAAGAGAAATACAGGAGAATCTCTCATCAGTTATTTTTCTCTTCTTTGAACTAAAATAACTCATAATATGAAATTGGAATATCATTCTTCAAAACTGAAATTAAAGCAGAAGTCAAAAAAGAATTGTCATCATTTCATGTGTTTAAAAGCCTCCAGTTTGCTCAGATATCTTGCTTATTCCTCATTTTTTAATGCAGAATGTAATATTGTTCCATTGATACTCTGAGATGACCTCAGTCAGTGTTGCCTCTAGCAGTATCAGGGACTGGACTGAGCCTAGGTCTAACCTGATCTTGCAAGATCCTTGATTTTGAGCAAGATAGAAAGGGTGAAAGCCATTTTTTTTCCAAATTGGCAAATTCAGCTGAACAGATCATTTATATCTACACTGAAGAGTAGCAGAATACTGAACACACCGAGGATCTGAAATGATACATCAGTCATCTGTACTAGTAAAGTGGCAGATTTAAGGCTTTTACCTGTACACATTCATAGTGTTAAATTATTGGCACATCCATGTGTTTGGCCCATGCCAATTAATCTTATCATAAAAAGTGTCTACACGTAAGTCAGAAGGTAGAGTGGACCAAGGACTGTTCCTCAGAGATGATTGGATGTAACCATGCACTTCTTTGGAAGTTGGAATTCTTAGCCATGTGAGCATGAACCGTACTGTGCCTGTTGTCCTCAGAATTAGAGAGCAGTTTAACAACTTGTTAGGTTTGTGAGTGTGCCCGCAGCTAGTGTGACTGGGGATCTGATTCAAGGCATGGAGCCAATAGGAGAGGAAGAAAGAGAAGAAAAATAGTGAGGGATGTTGGACTGCAGGTTGTGAAATGAGATTTATGCACACAAAGTTCTTGTGTACTTTTCTTATTTTCCTAATGCTTTCTGACTTAAAATATTCACTGTGAGAGGGACGGTTCTGTCTGCTTCAGGCTGCCTATTTCTGTTTGCTTGTGAAATACTTATGGGCTTGATAAATATTACCTTGCTCACTGGTGAGAAGCTATCTGGAGAATATGCTTGACATGGCAAGCAGTCTGCTGAGCAAGTCTTCTCTGTCCTCTTTCTTCTTCTTTCCTTTCTCACTTTTTATCTGACTTTCTGTGCCCTGATTAACTTTTCTCTATTTTATTTTCTGCTAGAGTTTCCGTGGGGTAGAGGTATTATACTTTGGTAAATGGGAGCCTCAGACCTGATTAGAAAAGTTCTTTCTGTGTTGAAAAATTACCTTGTATATTATTTCACCATATCAAGGCAATGTCTGGAAACCCAGTGACAAAGTAATGACATGATGCAGTGCAACCCCTATGCCAGACCATGCATGAGACCGTAATGGGCGTGGGGGAATGCCAAGTACCTCTGCTGCCAGGACAGCCTAGGGAAGCCTGTGCCTCAGGAAGGTATAGGCCTTTTGCAGAGGTTCTGCTGCTCAGAATAACCATCTGAGCCAAGTTACCCTTGGGTACTGAGCTGCTCAGCATTTCTCAAGGTCTGTTAGACAATTTTAGTGAGGTTGTGCTTAACCAGTAAGCTCCTTCCAGTTTTCGCAAGCCTGCCCAGGTATTTTGCACTGCTTTTGAATCAAGGAATCAGCTCTTCAGGAAGGTCTAAGAAATATAAGGTCTCCTGTAGGAATATAGAGAGCATAGTTCAGGAACATTGATGAAGGCTGAGGTCTGGATAAACTTGCTCACTTGATCATGTCTGCTTTAGGATGAGTCTAGTCTTTCCTTTCTGATGATTAATGTGGAATGAATCCCCAGGTGCATTGGTACGGATAGTGACATCAGCAATCCATAATTGGAAATAGAAACCATTGAGAATCTCTCTCCTGCATAAAACATGGAACAGTCATATCTATAAACTTTTAGAAGGAGAATAGGAATAATGAATCCTATTTGTAAATAAGCTGGCTGTTGCTGTTGGGTTCTGGGTTGGCTTTTTTGATCTGTTTTGTAAGGTTTTGCTTTTTTAAAGCAACAAAATGGAAATAGGAAAGTCAAAATAAACAAATAAAGCTTTCCAGAATTAAAGAAAAAGCAACTGATTTTTACAGTGTTTATCAACACATATAAGTATCTATTCAAGGGAGTCTTGTTCTTCTTCTATGTCCTCACTATAAATGTACAAAGTATAGTGCGCATGCTTCCATACTAGTAACTTCCAGGGTGGTCTCAGACCTTGACATAGTATTTTGGAGAATGATATGTTTATAATTTGCACTGTCACAATTTCTTCTGTATTTCTTTGTACCCAAATAGAGAATAACAAGTCCAAGAGCAGTCAAGGCTAGTATCTGCCTCCAGTAGTAGATTCAATTACAATGGAAATGCAGACCACTTGTGGGAATAAACTTGGCCTGTGAAGCTCTGCATATACCCTACTCCTGAGCAGGATAATGCAACAGACTATTTAATACTAATTTTTCTGATAAAACTGGGACTCCTACACAGGCTTGCAATGTAATGCCCAGATCCAGAACAAAATGAATCCATTACAGGATCAACTGGGTCATCATCCTAAACTCCAAAAGAAATTTTGTTCCAGAACTGGAAACAAACGTGTCTTGGCCTTGTGTCCACGTTTACACCTGCAAATGAAACAGGCAACCAAAAAGAGAGTGGCCTTGCATATACTGCTCATTATGATGACTCTGCTCCATGCTGTCAGTGTGCTTACACTTTGCCTTGGAAAATCTGGTCAGAACATTGCCAAGCAACTTGCTAATCATGACTTAGCATGATTATGTGCCCAGTGCCTCTACCCCCATCTTGGCCCATCTTAATTTACTAGTATGAACATAACTGTCATATTTAATCTCAAAACATTAATGTATATTTTTGGTGTATGGAAGCCCTCTACAAGACAGTCTTGTGAGGAACAGATAAGATTTTAGTCTGACTTGTAATAGCACAAAATACTCTTTTTATTTAATTTTTTTAAATATAAACAGAAATACTTCTGGATACAACTCAAGAGACCTCAGAGATTGGCTGGACCACACACCCTTCTGATGGGGTAAGCATTTCCCTTGTCCTCTTCTTGACTGTGCCTCTTCTGGGAAGATGTGCATGCATCTGATGAAGAAAGGGAAACTGGAAGCAATGAGACTTTGTTAATGGATTTTGTACATATGAACAATTTGAACACAATGTGTTGTGCAAAGCCAGATTGTTAAGAGAGGAGGATACTGGGTGGGATACTATTGTCACCTCCTTACTGTCTACCTTCCACTGTCCTAATATAAATAATTATCCCTCCGTACTGATAGAATAGAATATTTCAGTTGGAAGGCACCTGCAACAATCACCTAGTCCAGCTACCTGACCACTTCAGGGCTGATCAAAAGTTAAAGCATGTTGTTACGAGCATTGTCAAATGCTGACAGGCTGGGAGTATTGACCGCCTCTCTAGGGAGCCTGTTTCAGTGTCTGACCACCCTCTTGGTAAAGAAATGTTTCCTAATGTCAATTCTAAACCTCCCCTAAGGCAGCTTTGAACCATTCTCATGCGTCCTATCACTGGACTCCAGGGAAAAGGGATCAGCTCCTCCCTCTCCATTTCCCCTCCTCAGGAAGCTGCAGATGGCAAGGGGATTGCCACTCAACCTCCTTTTTTACAAGCTAGACAAACCCAGAACCCTCAGCTGCTCACCACAGCATATGCCTTTCAGCCCATCCACCAGCTTTTTTTGCCCTCCTCTGGACTCATTTCAGGACCTTCACACCCCTCTGAAATGGTGGGGCTCAGAACTGCACCCAGCACTCCGTGTGAGGCCACACCAGTGCTGAGCCCAGTGGGATAATCCCCTCTACTGACCAGCTGGTGATGCCGTGTTTGATGCTCCCCAGGACGTGGTTTGCCCTCGGGGCTGCCCGGGCACACACTGCTGACTCACATTGAGCTGATGCCCACCAGCACCCCCAGGGCCCGCTCTGCAGGGCACTCTCCAACCACTCCTCTCCCACTTCATACTTGTGTGCAGAGTTACTCCATCCCAGGTGCAGCATCTGGCATTTGTTCTTGTTAAGTTTCATGCCATGGATGACTGCCTAGTGCTCTAATCTATCCAGATCCCTCTGCAAGTTCTTTTGTCCCTCCAGAGAGTTAACAGCACTTGCCAGGTTAGTCTCGACAGTAAACTTGCTAATGGTGCGTTCAACTCCTGCATCGAGGTCATTGATAAATACCTTGCAGAGAACTGGCTCTAGAATTGAGTCCAAGGAACACTGTGGCAGGGCTAGGAGTTGGACTCTATGATCCTTGTGGGTCCCTTCCAACTCAGATGTTCCATGATTCCATAATTTGTATTGTGTGCATTGATGTACAAACATTTCAGTTGTGTTCCTGAGGCCTCCATGCTCCCAGGAGCAGCATACATATTTCCACTAGCACTGCTATCCCCAGGCTATGCCATGCCAACTCTTGGTTTACCTCCAGCTCTCCTGTTGATATGCCCTTCCTTCATCAATTCTAGATTAAATCTGTCTTAATCAGTCTGTCCAGTTTATGAGCAAAGATACCTTTCACCTGTTGGGACAGTGGATCCTCTCAGGTCCCAGCATACCTCGTGTCTCAAAGATTCCTCAATGGTTACAAAACCAAGCATTTTGGCAGAAGCACCAGTCCTGAAGCCAGGTATTGATATCTTGGGATCACTTGTTTCTTCCAAAGTGTCTCACTGTTACTAAGAGGATTGGGAAAAGCACTACCTGTGCTCCTGAATTTTTTTGTGTTCTTCCCAAGGCCCTAAAATCTCTGTTGATCAACTTTGTACTTTTTGTTGGGACATTACTAGTACCAATGTGAAAAAACAGGAGTGGATAATAGTCTGAAGGCTGTACTAAGCTCTTCCATCATCTGGTAACAGCCCTAAACTAGGCCCCAGGGAGGCAGCAAACTTGCCTAAAAAGATATTCTGATCTGCAAATGGATGCTTCTGTTTCACACAGGACAGAGTCACTAATGACCATAAGTTGCCAATTTTTCTTCTTGGTACTGGTTTAATGCAGATCTTGTTGTGAGCAGTTTGTTGGTCAGATCTTCACGAGAATGCTTGAGCAGGTCCCTTCTCTTCTATCTCACTGTGCGCTTCCTCTGTCATACTCAGGACCTTATGCCTATTCTATAAAGCTAGTTAAGAGGGTAAGGAGGGGTTTCTCTTACAGCTTTGTAGAGTAACCCGCTTCCAGTACAGTAACCCTGCCCTATCCTTCCTTTGTACCTTCCTCCTGGCACAAACCAGATCTGGGCCTGCCCCTGTAGTGGTCATGCAGAGTGGCTTGTGTGCATAGGAGATGTCAGAGGATAGCTCCAACTGTGGTAAAGCTGGGTAGAAGGGACTTCTACTTCAATGTGTTTTCCAAAGAACAGTGTCTTGTTGCTCTGTCTCATTTGCTTGTGTCGTGCGTCTTGTCTCTGGAGATAAGACATGGGGAAATAGGAGGGAAGAAAGTGACTCTCATTTTAAGATTCTGAATGCCATGTGACAAGTTTGTATTAATTATGTTTTCTGTCACAACAATTCTTACTTCAAAACTTTGACCACTCTTCTTTACGGGGTCATACTTTGTCCTGTGTAGAGTGCTGTGCTGCACATGGCGTCAGCAGGTTCAAGTCTTGTCATAGACAAGACTGGCAAGGAGAAGGAAGGGGAAGACAAAGACCTGTCCCGTATTTTTGATGCAGTTGAACACTGAATCTTTTTTTTTTTTTACAGTTTCTTTTTTTCTTTTCTTTCCCCTATTTCCATTGTAGTGGGATGAGGTAAGCGTCCTGGATGACAAGAAGCGCCTGATCCGGACCTTTCAAGTCTGTAATGTGGCTGAACCAGGTCAGAACAACTGGTTGCGTACTCACTTCATAGAGCGACGTGGAGCCCACCGAGTCCATGTCCGCCTCCGTTTCTCCGTGAGAGACTGTGCCAGCATGCGCACTGTGGCCTCCTCTTGCAAGGAGACTTTCACACTCTACTATCACCAGTCAGAGGCTGACATAGCCTCTCAGGACCTGCCAGAGTGGCGTGAGGGCCCCTGGACCAAAGTGGATACTATTGCAGCTGATGAAAGCTTTTCCCAGGTGGACAGCACTGGGAAGGTGGTAAAGATGAATGTTAAAGTACGTAGCTTTGGACCACTTACCAAGCATGGCTTCTACCTGGCCTTCCAGGACTCAGGAGCCTGCATGTCCCTGGTGGCAGTCCAGGTCTTTTTCTACAAGTGCCCAGCTGTGGTGAAAGGATTTGCCTCCTTTCCTGAAACGTTTGCAGGAGGGGAGAGGACCTCGCTGGTGGAGTCACCAGGGACGTGTGTGCCAAATGCTGAAGAGACAAGCACGACTGGGTCTTCAAGTGTTCGGTTGCACTGCAATGGAGAAGGGGAGTGGATGGTGGCCATTGGACGATGTACCTGCAAGGCTGGCTACCAGCCTGTTGATGATGAACGAGCCTGCCAAGGTGAGAGAACCTTTTTTTCACCCTTTAGGCAGCCCCTTTTTTGTTGGTTCTCTGTATCAGCAGTATTTGGTACTAGTGAAAAGTTCACAGAGCTAGGAGGTTAAACCATTTCTTACAGTGAAAGCCTACTAGCAGTCTCTTCTGACACTTTTAGCACCTGAAACTGGAACTGGAGGGGTTTAGGAATGGTATTCTTCAATTTAGTGCTCTGGCTAAAACCATGCTGCCTCTTGCTCCCGGTCTCCCTCAGACTGAAAGCACAAAAGGCAAAGATCACATTTGAGGTTAGAGCAATTTACTGGAAACAACAATGAGATAAGAAAATGAACAGTAAAAGCAACAATATTAATAAGCAAAGGTATAAGACAAAGAAATTATTTACATGGAAAGTCCATGACAATATACAAATACCAATCAGCTCTTCTCTGCCAAGTTTTCTCCTGACCAGAAAGAACACCCTTCTCCTCGGAAGAGAGAGTCCTGTCCCACTGCCCCTGGCAATGACCATAGGTGGTACAGAATAACATCTGGGTCCTGGTCGTGCCCCCTCAGCCACACCCCCTCGCAGCTACTGCAGAAATTACCTTGTCCTGACTAAAGCTGGGACACCACTTGATGATAACAACATGGTTTGAAACTCCACTCAGGCCTTAGTTCAAGCTGCCACAAGAGACAGCCTGTTAGGCTACTTATACAGAATTACCAGGAGTTGTCACTAGCCAGACCTACCAAAACTCCACTTCTTTACCAAGAGGCAACAGTATTAGAAGAAACATGCCACATGGAGCAGAGCTGAGCTCAGAGTTAATACACTCTACTGTCCCAGCTAGTTTTGGCACTTTTGCTAGTACTGTTGGAACTAGGAATTAAAAAAAAAAAAAAAAAAGGAAATGGCAGCAGCCTTGTCATGGGACATGGAACATGTAGCAGGGCTGACCTGACAAGAAAAAATAGTCATAATGGTATTATCATTACCAATAATGTACTCTCTGCCCAGGGGCCCATGGTATTTTCTGTGTTTGTTGGAGGAAATAGAATAAATTATGTATCACCCAGAAGTGATACTGGGCCAAAATCTGGCCAAACCTGAACACCCAGTCTAATGTCATGACTGTATTCCTATCTCAAGCTTAAGACTGTCCATTAGAGGAAACTGCTTATGTTGGTTATGTAATTTTTTGTAGAACGTTCCTCTCATGCTTCCTGTGTTTTAATATGCATCTACTCAAAATCTCTCAGCAATATAAAGTGTTGCTGCACCACCCTTACTAATCTAAAAAATAAATGTAATGTGGAAACAAGTTTTGGCTGCAGACACAGTTTTAAAGTTGGATTATAATTTATTCAAATAAGAGTTCGAGTCAAACATTAGGTGTACAAATATCCTGGTTAACACCAAGTACAAATGCAACAGATAATTAATGGTTGTCAATATGATACTTTACATTCGTGCTTCATGAAGTGATTTGGGTCATGTAAAATAGCTTTATTAAAATACAGGTCATTGTGCTGGAGACTTATAAAGCAATTAAAATTGGTAAGTGCTTTTCATTTGTTTAAACTTTGAGAATAATTAAAATGTGTGTACCTTTTTATCCTGCTCATCCTGAAAGAAATGTAACTACATTCCTATAGCACTGCTCCTGAGACAGTAAGCTCAGGCAGACATTGAGCAGCTCTATATGGCACTAGTTGTGCTATCTGCATCAGTAACATGACTAGTTCACTGTTTAGATAAACTGACAGTCAATAATTTAGTATCAGATAGTAGTCTTAAGCACTCAAAAAATAACGGAATTAGGCTTGGTAGATAAAATTTAAAAAAATCTATCTTCTATTTTTCATACCATTCAGTGAAAGCTGATACTCCCTTGCAGCCTCATTATCATAAAAGCTGGAGAAAGATGAAAATTATAAACACTATAAGGAATAACTGAAACAACGACAGTCTATCAAGCTACAAAACTCCATTCCCATCAATTACTTCCTAAGATTCCATGAGCAGCTTAGAGCAGCCAAAGACAACTGAATAATGAATCTTAATGTTAGAGGGTATTTTTTTTCTGCTCATGTTTCTTGTAAACTCCTCTGGCTTGATCAGTGTTTGTTCCTGGTCTCTTCTCCTGCTAACAATATGTTGCTGTCCTGTCTGAATGGAGCCACATTCAGTCCCCTTGCTTGGTGTTTCTTTGTGTGGAGTCCTTTCCAGCACTTCCCCTCTATATGTATGTTCTTCCCTCCTAAGAACAGAAGTATGCCGTGATACAGAGCTACTACAGTGTTGTAGGTGAAATACAGAACAAAAGCAATAGCCCAAGGGCAGATTTCTACTGATGATACCTCAGAGAGCTCTTCTTAATAAGACTGAAGAATCAACCAAGGATAGGAAGGAGAAGCAAGTTTCCTTCTTACACTTTAGTAGAAGAGTGTGTGGGCATTGCCTTCCCCCTCACCATATGCAAGCCTGTGGAGTCCTTCCCGGACCAGCTGTTACCTCTTTATTTAGAACAAAGAATCTGCCAAGAGCCATTCTGAGGAGAAAGATAGAAAGCCCTTGTTTTTCCCCCCTGCCCCCTATCATAAGTTAAGATACTTTCTTTTATTAGTTTTATGAGACTGCCTGCTGTATTTTACTATATGGCAAATTTCTCCAACTAGATAGAAGAGTGAACCAACAACCTTTAGTAAGCCTTCTGGGTGATGTGGGATTTGCTCTGTGTGGGATTCACTTTTGACCTTATCTGAGCAGACTTCTCATGCTGAACAGTCAGAAAGGAGAACGGCAGTTTGAAGAGGAAAAAAAAAAGAAGGTTGGGACCTAATCTCCTTTTCTTTGGGTAGATACATACACACAGGCAACCTTGCCTGGCAAGGTTTTCTGCAGCTTGTGTTTTTCCTCCTAGAAGGCTGGAAGCAGAATGTTCTGTGTGATTAGGCTTTCCTAGGCTACTGGTTCCCAAAATTCTGGACTGATTGGCTGTTCTCCCAAGCCTTCTCTCCGATTCACATATTCGTTACTGAAAACAGTTGTTCCCGAATCCATGCCCACAAACAATTAAATAATGTGTTTCTTGGGATACACTGCCTGCTGCTTATCATTGCTGTTAAAAGTCATATAGGATTTAAGTTACCAGATGCTTTTGAAAATAATATGTAGAATTCATGACTGAGACATTTTAAAAATACTTCAGAAATTGCAGTGTGGACAAAAAGGAGAAGAGAAATGACTGCTAGATAAAGTGCTAAGCTGACTTCTGAATGAAGAAGGACAGAGCTCAGGACAGAGCTGAGCTGATTGGCCATATCTGTGGCATCTCTGTACAAATGTATTTAACTGGGGATAGAAAATAGCAACCAGAGAGAGGAGGAGGGAACAAGTTTGGAGTGGAAAGAGTTAAGTTGAACTTGGGACAGGGAGGAGGAAAGGTGTTGTTTCAATGTTTGTTTTTGTTTTCTCATTATCCAAATCTATGTTAATCAGCAATAAATTAAATTAAATTTCCCCGAGCCAAGTCTGTTTTGCCTGTGATGGTAATTGGTAAACAAACTCCATGTCTTTATAACTTCTTTACCTCTGCCCACCATCCTTCTAATCCAGTTTTCTCCCTGTGTCTGGCTGAGGAGGAGGAGTGAGAGAGGTTAGCCATCCACATGCCTGCTTCTTCTCTCTTCTTTCCCTAAGGGTATTAAGCAAGCAAAAGGTCTGCCTGTCATCTGTAGTAGCTGTAAGGATTCCGTAAAACTACCCATGTCCTATGGCTATATGTAGTCCCTTCTGGTTGCAGAAGGAATCACATCTCTATTACCGATAACTACGGGAGCTAGCAACTGTGTACACAGCTGTTTGACTTCTCATTTGGGAAGAGTATTTCATGTTTATTTTTTTATTATTGAAAGATACCCTTTCTGACCAGCCTGGATAAACTTTTTTCAGTGTACAAGGCTAAGAAAATGTTAAGATTTATGTTAAAGCAAAAGCTTCAGTAGTCTGGTAAAAATATGCACATACTATTAGCAAAGAAAAAAGCACAATAAGCTTTTCTCAAATTTTAATCACTTAAAAGATGCTTCCTTTAAGACCACAGCATAATTTACATTTCAGGGACCTGTGGAAGTGATCTTCTCCAACCCCTGCTCAAAGCAGGACCAAATTGGGTTATGTCACTCAAGGCCTATTCTAATCTAGTTTTCATTATTCCTAAAGATCAAGATTACACGATGTCCCTGGGCAACTGTTCCAGTATTTGACAACACCTATGGTGAAATTATTTTTTCCTATGTGGAAGGAGATTTTAGTAAGATGTAATAAGAGGTTATTACAGCTTGTGTGTGTTATCTCATGTTCTACCACCTTGTGCCTACACCTCCTCCCATTAGGTGGCTGATGCCAGCTGTAAGTTCCCACCCCGCAGCCTACTCTTCTTCAAAATGAAAAAAACCAGTGTGTTAGCCTCTCTTGAGTAAGAGCTTTAATTTCAAGGTAAACTTACAGTTGACAATAATGTTTGGTGCCTTGAGCTAGATTACATTTTTCTTTTTTCTTTTTTTTTTTCCCCCCTTCCATGTTGCTCCTTTCATCAGCTTTTCTGCTACATACACATACATTTTGGTGCTTTTCAAGTAGTTTGCTGCTTTTCTTGTATCAAGTGCTTGCTCTAGACTCATATTCCATCCTTACCCTGCCCAAATCTTTCCTCTCTTGTTTTTGCCTTTTTTTCCTTCATGCAACCCATTCCCTGGCAGTCCTCCCATATATAATTAGCTAGTAATTGTTTTAGCTCTGCCTCTTTTAACTAAAAAATCCCTTACTCAACTGATCTCCTATCAACAGTTCAGCAGGAAAGGGTTCTTAGTCACTTCATTTATTTTATCTCAGTTGATTTGATGCTTTCCTTTACAACTCAAAATCCACACTTTTCTCTCCTTATGTGTCTTTTATTTTCCACTGTCTCTTCCCCACCCAAACAGCTGTAGCAACAATGAAACTAGATCAACCCAGGGCGCTATTGCTTCACCATGACTTGCTTCTACCTCTGTCTGATCCCATCTCTCTCAGAATAGGACACAAGATACACAGTAACAGCCTGGCCCAGTGGGAA